TTACTCTCTAAATTTTTCCACTGTTCCCCCTTCCCTCTCCATTTTCCATCTTCAATGTTCCACTGTTCCTCTTTCCATCTCCCACTGTTCCACTGGTCCACTTCTCACTTTTCCCCACGGCCCACTGTTCCCTGGTCACTGTTCTACTCTCCATTTCCCTGTTCCCACCCCCCCCAAATTTCCTTTTCCCCCAAAAGTTCCACTTTTCCCACTTTCCCCTTTTCCATCTTCCACTGTTCCATGTTCCACTCCCCACTTTTCCACTTTCCCTTGTTCCATGTTAATCTTCCCATTGTTCTACTTCCTTACTGTCCACTGTTCCACTGTTCCACTCTCCCCACTGTTCCACTGTTCCACTCTCCCACTGTTCCACTCCCCCACTATTCCACTGTTCCACTCTCCCACTCCCCCCCATGTTCCCTTTCCCACTGTTCCACCTCCCCCCGTTCCCTGTTCCACTTTTCCCATGTTCCCACTGTTCCACGTTCCACTTCCCATGTTCCACTGGCCCACTCTCCACTTTTCCCCGGTCCCGTTCTACTCTCCCACTGTTCCACTGTTCCACTCTCCCCTGTTCCACTCCCCCACGTTCCACTGTTCCACTTCCCACTGTTCCACTTTTCCCACTCTCCCACTGTTCCACTTTTCCCACTCCCCACTGTTCCACTGTCCACCCCCCACTTTTCCACTCTTCCACTTTCCCTTTTTTCCACGTTAGGTCTCCCATTGTTCTACTCTCCCATTTTCCAATTTTCCCATTTTCCCCCCACTGTTCCACTGTTCCTCTCTCTCATGTTCCATGTTCCACTCTCCCACTTTTCCACTCTCCACTGTTCCACTTTCCCCTGTTCCACTGTTCCATTCCCCCACTTTTCCACGTTCCACTGTTCCCTGTTCCCCGCCCCACGTTCCCTCTCCCACTGTTCCACTCCCCCCCTGTTCCACTGTTCCACGTTCCATCTCCCAGGTTCCATTTCCCCACTTTCCATTTTTCCACTTCGCATGTCCATGTTCCACCCCCCTTTTCCCTTTTTTTACCTCCCTGTTCCACTCCCCCCATGTTCCCTTTCCCCTGTTCCACCCCCAAATCCCCCCACTGTTCCACTCCCCCCTTTTCCATGTTCCATGCCCTGTTCACCTCCTTTTTACTTTCCAGTTCCATCCCCATTTTTCCACGTTTCCACTCTACTGTCAGTCCCCCTATGTTAAAACGGCCCTTTCCCCAAAGGTTCCACTGGATTTTTCCCCCCCACTGCCAGCCATCTCCCACTGCCCTCCCCATGCCCTGATTAAATGCCACGCCACTCCCCACTTCCACTGTTTCCCCATGCCCTGCCCACCCCCACCCATCCCATTTTTGTTTCCCGAGCCCCCAGCTACCTCCATGCCCAAGAAGATTTTCCCCCCATTTTCAGATCCCCATGTTATTCCCATGTTTTTTCCCCCACTGTTACGGGCCCCTTTTATTCTCCCATTTTTAGCATGATGCCAACGGGGCCCCCCCCCCATGATCCCCATTGCCCCACTGTTCCACTGTTCCCTCTCCCTTTGTTCCACTTCCCCCACTGTTCCATTTTCCACTCTCGCACTTTCCCACTTTTCCCACCCCCCCACTTTCCTTTTTTCCCCCATCTCCCACTGTCCATCTCCCACTGTTCCACTTTCCACTGTTCCATTTCCCCAACTTCCCACTGTTCCATTTCCCACTTTTACTTTTCCCATGTTCCACTCTCCCACTTTCCCACTCTCTCATTGTTTCACTTTCCACTCTCCCATTTTCCAAACCCTCCACTGTTCCGCTTTTTCCATTCCCCCCACTGTTCCATGTTCCACTCCCCCATGTTCCCTTTTCCAAATTTCCACTGTTCCCTGTACACTCTCCCACTGTTCCACCCCCACTGTTCCACTCTCCCACGTTCCAAATTTCACTGTTCCCTCTCCCACTGTTCCACTGTTCCACTCCCCACTGTTCCACTGTTCCCACTCCCCATGTTCCACTCTTCCCATTCCTTTGGGGCATCTACCACTGTTCCTCTGTTCACTGTTCCTTTCTCCCACTGTTTCACTCCCACGTTCCACTGTTTCACTCCCACTGTTCCACTTCCCACTGTTCCCTGTTTACTCTCCACTTTTCCCACTGTTCCACTTCCCACTGTTCCCCCACTCTCCCACTGTTCCATTTTCCCACTCCCCCCACGTTCCACTGTTCCACTCCCCCACTTTTCCACTTTTCCACTCTCCCACTTTTCCACTGTTCCACTCCCCCACTTTTTCCATGTTCCATCCCCCACTTTTCCCACTCTTACTTTCCCCTGCCCCTGTTAGCCTTCCCTTTGTTTACTCCCCACTGTTGCACTTTTTCCATTTCCCACTTTTTCCATTTTCCTTCCCATGTTCCACTGTTCCACTCTCCCCTTTTCCACTCCCCCACTTTTCCCAATTTTTTACTTTTCCCACTGTTCCATTCTCCCATTTTTTCCACTGTTCCCTGTTCCTGTTCCACGCTCCCACTGTTCCACTCCCCCACTGTTCCACTCTCCACGTTCCCTTTTCCCCACTGTTCCACTCTCCTTTTTGTTCCACTCTCCCACTGTTCCCCTGTTCACCTCGAAATGTTCCACTTTCCACTTCCCATTTTCCATTGTTCCACTCCCCCCACGTTCCATCCCCCACTGTTCCACTGTTCCACTGTTCCACCCCCAACCCCCCCACTGTTCCACTCCCCACTGTTCCACCTCCAACTCCCCCACTGTTCCACCTCCCATTTTTTCCACTTCCCACTGTTCCCTGTTCCCTTTTCCACTTTTAAATGTTCCACTCTCCCCTGTTCCACGGGTCCACCCCCCACTGTTCCACTGGTCCCTGTTCTACTCTCCCCTGTTCCCTGTTCCTCTCCCACTTTTCCATTCCCACTGTTCCACTGTTCCACTCCCACTTTTTCCACTGCCCACCTCCCCTGCTCCACGTTCCCCTTCCACTGTTCCATGTTCTCTCTCCCACTGTTCCACTGTTCCCTCTCCCCTCTTCCACCCTTCCATTTTCCCTCTGTTCCACTGTTGGCTCTCCCATTGTTCTACTCCCCCACTTTCCCATGTTCCACTCTCCCAGTTCCACGTTTTTTTTCCCCCAACTGTTCCACGTTCCACTCTCCACTGTTCCACTCCCCCACTGTTCCATTTTCCCCAATGTTCCACGTTCCTTTTCCCCTTTTCCATGTTCCACTTTTCCCCACTGTTCCACGCCCCCTGTTCCATTTCCCCCCACTGTTCCACTCTCCCCACTTTCCACTTTCCACTGTTCCACCTCCCCATTGTTCCATTTCTCCCACTGTTCCCTTTCCATTTCCGCACTTTTCCCATGTTCCACTCCCCACTGTTCCATTGTTCCACTCCCCCACTTTTTCCCTTTCCCCCACTTTTTCCACTTTTTCCATGTTCCACTCTCCAACTTCCCATTTTCCACTCCCCACTTTTCCACTGTTCCACGTTCCACTCCCCCACTTTTCCCACTCTCTCATTTTTCACTGTTCCACTCTCCCCATGTTCCACTCTCCCACGTTCCACCCTCCACTGTTCCGCTGTTCCTTCTCCCATTTTCCACTGTTCCACTCTCCCACTTTTCCACTGTTCCACTTTCCACTGTTCCACTGTACCACCTCTCCCTGTTCCACTTTCCCACTGTTCCACTCCCCACTGTTCCACTGTTCCCTGTTCCCAATCCCCACTGTTCCAGTTCCCCTCTCCCAATGTTCCACTTTTCCCACTCTCCCACTGTTCCCACTCTTCACATTCCTTTGTGGCATTCTACCACTGTTCCTCGTTCCATTTCCATTCTCCCACTGTTTCCTCCCACTGTCACTGTTCACTCCCATGTTCCTTCCCACTGTTCCACTGTTCTACTCTCCCACTTTCCACGTTCCACTGTTGAAATTTCCACTCTCCCCCGTTCCACTGCCCATTTCCCCTACTGTTCCACTGTTCCACTCTCCCCGTTCCACGGTCCACTTCCCACTTTTCACTGTTCCACTGTTCCACTCTGCCACTGTTCCACTGTTCCACTCTCCCACTGTTCCACTGTTCCACTCTGCCACTGTTCCATTGTTCCACTCTCCCACTGTTTCACTGTTCCACTGTTCCACTCTGCCACTGTTCCGCTGTTCCACTCTCCCACTGTTCCTCTGTTTCACTCTCCCACTGTTCCACTGTTCCACTTTCCCACTGTTCCACTCTCCCACTGTTCCACTGTTCCTCTGTTCCACTGTTCCACTCTCCCACTGTTCCACTGTTCCTCTGTTCCACTGTTCCACTCTGTCACTGTTCCACTGTTCCACTCTCCCACTGTTCCACTGTTCCACTGTTCCACTCTCCCACTGTTCCACTGTTCCACTCTCCCACTGTTCCACTGTTCCTCTGTTCCACTGTTCCACTCTGTCACTGTTCCACTGTTCCACTCTCCCACTGTTCCACTGTTTCACTCTCCCACTGTTCCACTGTTCCACTCTCCCACTGTTCCACTGTTCCACTCTCCCACTGTTCCACCGGCCCACAAACAAAACATCAGACATAAATTAATCATTGCTTCCTCCTTCTAGAGTACAAGAAATAAAACATTTAACTAACACAGTTTTCTCATTCACTAACAAAATAGACATAATGTTTCGTAAATGAGTAACCAATAAGTGATGAGAAACTTAGAGACCAAACTGTGGTTTCTGTCTTCACAGGGAAGACCACACACACACACACACACACACACATGCACACACTCACACACACACACACACACACACACACACACACACACACACACACACACACACACACGCGCGCGCGATCAGTGAAAAGGTGGGACCAGGAGCTGAGTCTCGACCCTTGCAACCACAATTATGTGAGTACAATTATGTGAGTACACAGTGTTTTCTCACCCAATGTAATATACACTATGTATGATAATTACACTTATGTGTACCTCTGCCTAAATGTACTTATTATCTCAACCAGGTAAATGTAGTGAGCTATATATGCGCCATTAAAGTGACGTGTGGGAAGCAACCTCAGATTGGTGGTGATCATCAGAGTCCAACAGTCAGACTGAAGATCTCCATCTCTCTGTTCTTCATCCTGGGCCTCACCTGGATCCCTGGCTTCTTCTACATTGATCAAGGTTCTTATTGTTACTTTCATTACTGATACACTTCAGTCTTCTTCCTTTCGTCAGAAATGTGATGTAGTAATCATATTATTTATTGATCTTATTTTGAAAGATATATCTACAATGGAGGATCTAAATCACACTTCCCTGGAAACTCAAGAGAGCGTGTTTGTAGCTCCTGGACCAGTGTTGTGTCAGACGCAAATGACAGGCCAATAGGGAACACCATAAGGCAGCTCAGGAAGGAGAAACGAGTGGTGGTAATAGTGGTGATAGTAGTAGTAATAGTAACAGTAGTTGTAGTAGTGGCACTAATAATAATCTGTATTTCTACACGTGCATGTACAAGGTATGGGTACTGACTCAGGCTGGCCAGTACTAGTGAAGCACTGCAGGAGGGGTACTGACTCAGGCTGGCCAGTACTAGTGAAGCACTGCAGGAGGGGTACTGACTCAGGCTGGCCAGTACTAGTGAAGCACTGCAGGATGGATACTGACTCAGGCTGGCCAGTACTAGTGAAGCACTGCAGGAGGGGTAGTTACTCAGGCTGGCCAGTACTAGTGAAGCACTGCAGGAGGTACTGACTCAGGCTGGCTTAGTACTAGTGAAGCACTGCAGGAGGGTAGCCAGGCTGGCCATACTAGTGAAGCACTGCAGGAGTACTGACCAGGCTGGTCATAATAGTAAAGCACTGCAGGAGGGGTAGTTACTCAGGCTGGCCAGTACTAGTGAAGCACTCCAGGAAGGGTACTGACTCAGGCTGGTTAGTACTAGTGAAGCACTGCAGGAGGGGTACTGACCCAGGTTGGCCAGTACTAGTGAAGCACTGCAGGAGGGATACTGACCCAGGCTGGTTAGTAATAGTGAAGCACTGCAGGAGGGGTAGTTACTCAGGCTGGCCAGTACTAGTGAAGCACTGCAGGAGGGGCACTGACCCAGGCTGGTCAGTAATAGTGAAGCACTGCAGGAGGGATACTGACCCAGGCTGGTCAGTAATAGTAAAGCACTGCAGGAGGGGTAGTTACTCAGGCTGGCCAGTACTAGTGAAGCACTCCAGGAAGGGTACTGACTCAGGCTGGTTAGTACTAGTGAAGCACTGCAGGAGGGGTACTGACCCAGGTTGGCCAGTACTAGTGAAGCACTGCAGGAGGGGTACTGACCCAGGCTGGTTAGTAATAGTGAAGCACTGCAGGAGGGGTAGTTACTCAGGCTGGCCAGTACTAGTGAAGAACTGCAGGAGGGGCACTGACCCAGGCTGGTCAGTAATAGTGAAGCACTGCAGGAGGGATACTGACTGTTGAGAAATTTTCTCCAGGAGGGGGGTATCAGCCCCCTTCAGCCTCCTTCAGCCCCTTCAGCCCCTTTCAGCCCTGAGGGGCCTAGCCCTCTCAGAAGGGGCAAATATCTTGTTTACTGCTACAGCAAGTAATTGATCCCAGATGCAGTACCAGTATACTGCCTGTGGTCAAGCGACCGCCGCTCCGTGCGGTCCAGTGTTGCAGAGTGTATTTTAATAAGAGACAGTATATCTCTTACCTTAGCAGGACAATTAAGGAAAACCCTGCTCCCACTTTATTACCATAGTAAAGATAGTGGACATTGTTGTCTATGCTTAAGACAGCAAGAATCAAACATTCTGCTTTGCTTCATCGAGGAAGTGGCAAGGAAGCAAAAGTACTAGGTCAGCTTTTCCTTTGTGCTAGGGGAGTAACGGCGTGGGGTGCTGTGGATCTTCAGATTACTTTTGACTCTACTGAGAGTGACACTGATGCCAGGATAACCAACAAAGAACGATCTGTGCGTTAGTGTGAACAAAGTGTCTCACAAAACACAATAAACACTTACAGAGAAGTGTGATCAGCTTCTTTATTGATAAGATTGTGAACATTAAAGACAAATCTTGTGGAACATATTGTACCAGTGTGCGTATTCCTAGACTATGGAAGATGTGGACATCCAAGGACACTTCAGCTTCTATCAAGTCACCGACACCTGTCGAAGGTGTGAAGAACACCATAGCTCATGCTACAAGAGTAAGGTAGGTTACAAATTTCTTGTAGAACGGGGGACTGTGCAGTTCTTGAGTCGCAAGAAGTTTGTAATCAACCTATAGTCGGCAGATAGGAGCGGACTTTTGAGTCCACACAAGTAAGTTTGTCAGCCATCAGTGAATGAAATATGCTGACATAACACCCCCTAGGGGTAATTTATAATCTTACAAATTATAACTCATTACAGCCCATTGAGAGATGATCATGACAACAATTCAAGACCTCGTCTGCAGGGGCGGCTGTGTAGATGATTTGCTGTCTTTTTATCAGCTAAGTGTTCCCTATATTTAAATTTAAAATTAAGCTTAACTGGTAATCCCATTTCTCAACACTGACCCAGGCTGGCCAGTACTAGTGAAGCACTGCAGGAGGGGTACTAACCCTGGCTGGCCAGTACTAGTGAAGCACTGCAGGAGGGGTACTGACCCAGGCTGGCCAGTACTAGTGAAGTACTGCAGGAGGGGTACTGACACAGGCTGGCCAGTACTAGTGAAGCACTGCAGGAGGGGTACTGACCCTGGCTGGCCAGTACTAGTGAAGCACTGCAGGATGGGTACTGACCCAGGCTGGCCAGTACTAGTGAAGCACTGCAGGAGGGGTACTGACCCTGGCTGGCCAGTACTAGTGAAGCACTGCAGGAGGGGTACTGACCCAGGCTGGCCAGTACTAGTGAAGCACTGCAGGAGGGGTACTGACCCAGGCTGGCCAGTACTAGTGAAGCACTGCAGGAGGGGTACTGACCCAGGCTGGCCAGTACTAGTGAAGCACTGCAGAAGGGGTACTGACCCAGGCTGGCCAGTACTAGTGAAGCACTGCAGGAGGGGTACTGACCCAGGCTGGCCAGTACTAGTGAAGCACTGCAGGAGGGGTACTGACCCAGGCTGGCCAGTACTAGTGAAGCACTGCAGGAGGGGTACTGACCCAGGCTGGCCAGTACTAGTGAAGCACTGCAGGAGGGATACTGACCCAGGCTGGCCAGTACTAGTGAAGCACTGCAGGAGGGGTACTGACCCAGGCTGGCCAGTACTAGTGAAGCACTAGCAGGAGGGGTACTGACCCAGGCTGGCCAGTACTAGTGAAGCACTGCAGAAGGGGTACTGACCCAGGCTGGCCAGTACTAGTGAAGCACTGCAGGAGGGGTACTGACCCAGGCTGGCCAGTACTAGTGAAGCACTGCAGGAGGGGTACTGACCCAGGCTGGCCAGTACTAGTGAAGCACTGCAGGAGGGGTACTGACCCAGGCTGGCCAGTACTAGTGAAGCACTGCAGGAGGGGTACTGACCCAGGCTGGCCAGTACTAGTGAAGCACTGCAGGAGGGGGTACTGACCCAGGCTGGCCAGTACTAGTGAAGCACTGCAGGAGGGGTACTGACCCAGGCTGGCCAGTACTAGTGAAGCACTGCAGGAGGGGTACTGACCCAGGCTGGCCAGTACATAGTGAAGCACTGCAGGAGGGGTTACTGACCCAGGCTGGCCAGTACTAGTGAAGCACTGCAGGAGGGGTACTGACCAGGCTGGCCAGTACTAGTGAAGCACTGCAGGAGGGGTACTGACCCAGGCTGGCCAGTACTAGTGAAGCACTGCAGGAGGGGTACTGACCCAGGCTGGTTCGTAGTAGTGATATGATAATGAAATTAAATTGCACCTCCAGACGATGGTGATCAAACTGACTCAACATTCTCTCTCGTATTTGATTGATTTAACAAGTTATCTTTTTATGTAAAATACCGATTGAACTAGACATTCTTCAGTCAACAACAATGAACTATACATCGTTATTATTACTGTGAATGTTAATATCTGGTTGTCATGGCAACAACAGCATAGATGTTTGTAAAGCGTTAAATTGACATGGATGTACATTTCTTGATGATAATAACACAGTAAACTAACTAGAAGAAATTTGGTCACTGTCGTGTTCGTTATCCTCACATCTGACAGACAGAGACGTAAGCCACAGCACCGTGTCTTCTTCTGTGGATGACACCTGAATTTGCATGACGGTGTCATCCATCGAAGACACTGCAAGACTCCAGGCAGACATCAAGCAAATCTTTAAATGGTTTGCAAAAACCAATATGTTGTTCAGTGGAAAGAAATTTCAGGACAAATTCCAACTACACAACAGAGCGAAAAACTATTGTGAAAGACCTGGGAGTAATAATGTCAGAGGACCTCACTTTCAAGGATCACGACAATCTTTCTATTACATCTGCTAAGAAAATGGCAGGATGGGTAAAGAGAACGTTCAAAGCTAGGGATGTCAAGCTCATGATTCTTCCCTTCAAATTGGTTGTTGTCTCTAGGCCGGAGTACTGCTGTACACTAATGGCCCCTTACAAGGCAGGTGAAATTGCAGATCAAGAGGATGTACAGAGAACTTTCGTGGCACACATAAGTACGATAAAGCACCTAAACTACTGCGAACGGTTGAAATCCCTTGATCTGTATTCCCTGGAACGCAGGCGAGAGAGATACATGATAATATACACATGGAAAATCCTAGAGAGACTAGTACCAAACCTGCACACGAAAATCACTCCCTATGAAAGCAAAAGACTCGGCAGGAGATGCAGTATCCCTCCAATGAAAAGCAGGGGTGCCACGAGTACACTGAGAGACAACATATTAAGTGTCAGGGGCCCAAGACTGTACAATTGCCTCCCAGCATACATAAGGGGGATTACCAATAGACCCCTGGCTGTCTTCAAGCAGGCACTGGACAGCCACCTAAAGTCAGTACCTGACCAGCCGGTCTGTAGTTCGTACGTTGGATTGCGTGCAGCCAGCAGTAACA